TATATATATATATATATATGCCTGGCTTGCCAAATTGGTTGTATCCAATTCTCTTACAATGACAATCCACCCCACTTGTGCGGGGTCAGCTACCGGAGAACGTCATCATTATTAACAATGATATCTCTCAATTCATCATTAAAAGCGCCACTCGACATTCACCTCGTCTTCATCTTTTTGTTTGAACGCTAGGGATAGGCGTTGTGCTGACATCATCCGACTCCTACATCATTATCTTTTCATCAAAGCACCAATGACGGGCTCTGTATAGCACAAAATGTGTCTTACTTATTATTTTTACTTATTCTTTTGGTTGGTGTTGGCTTAGGATAAGGAATCAATATATTCTTAGAAATTTTCTCTCAAGTCTCTCTCTCTCTCTCTCTCTCTCACACACACACAAAAGCACACATTTTCTATTTTTGATACAAGGAACATGTTCTATGCACTCACAAACAATACAAGTCCTTACATCTCAAAATGATTCAACATCCTGAAAGGCGCGATGAGCGTGAAGTTCATACATAAAGTCTGTCAGAAATTATTTTTTGCTTGAAGCAAGATCAATTAAAACAATGGATTACACTAGTGTATTCATGATGCAACATATCAATAAGCTAAAATAACAGATGATGAAAGTCTTACAATAAGTAAGTGATGCCTCTAAATCTTATACTCAACCTAAATTGAGAACACACATTGGATCATCAGGATCTGTGTCTTGCAGGCTAGATCCACAGAGGCAAGATCTATCGAGGCGAAAAATGCCTATGTTGGAGCCAACAAGGCTGGAACTAGTTGCGAATAATTTTGACCAAGAAGAAATCATTACTCAATTTTTAAGCGAGAAAAGTTACATTTGGGCGATCTTGTTCATTCAAGAGAAGAAGGATCTATTGCGGCCAGCCTCAAACAAAGAATAAATAAGGATAATACCCTCTCCCAACTACTCAAACAAAAAGCTAGAAGAGGAAGAAAGAGACAATGGTTCGAGGAGAACACATTCTTAAGGAAAATTATGAAATTTGAGGCACTAAGAAAGTATAAGATTCACTCTTTGAAATCTTACAGAGGAAAATTTAAACCCATCTATCTCCTTGTTGCATTTGAGTCAGTCATGTGTATACTTCGGATAAATGATACTTCTAAATATTATTTATTCTTCATGATGTTAAAGGAATAAGTCATACGTTGGTTTAATAGCCTGTTGGCAGGAGTTATCACCTCCTTCAAACAATTTAAATAAATTGTTGTTGCTTAGTTTGCTAGCACGCAGAAGCCACCAAATAAATTCAAGCACTTCTGAAAATATGCCAGGAACGTATCGAGAGCCTCATAAGCTTCATCGCCTACTTTCGATGGGAGATACTAGATGTCTTGAACCTTGAACCTACATTTGCTTATGTAGTTTTGGCCCAAAGACTTTAAAAATGATCATTTAAGTGTGCACTTGGCATGCTAAAGCTAAATACATTGGTGAAAGTTTTAGAGCTCAAGATTAGCCATATCTCCATCGAAGAGTACAATTCTAGCCTTAGACCTTCTCAACCACCGGAGCCTAGGGAGAAGTTCCATAGCCAATCTTGAGTTGATCGTCGGGACTCAAAGAACTGCTTTAGAATGAAATCTTAGGGCAATTTTGATAAGCATACTTGATAAAAACAATGTAAACATTGATGAGAAACTAGTCATAAGAAGACTGATAAGGAATCATAAATTACTTCACCTCCCCTCTCCTCTTACCGATGTCACGCCTTCGAGAGTTTCTATAATCCAAGGTGTGGAGGCCATTCAAAATAAAGATTGCTTTAGAAAGCCATTTCCCATAAATGTAGACACACACACTCGTGATCCAAAAATAAACCATGTGTATCATTAGGAACATGATCATGACATTAAGGAGTATTGGCATCTTCATAATCTAAATGAAAAGCTAAACAAGGTGAGAAAACTGAAGTAATTTGTGGCCCGAGAAGTCTATACTCAATGATAGGGTAAGGCACTTATAGAGAGCGGTGGCGATGAGCCTGCTTCGACAAGATTAGTCTACGTCATCAGAATCATACTAACCATCTTTAGAGGAGACAGACCCAAAGTTTCGCGAAGGTCCAACATAATGAGATTAAGGACAAGGGGGTCTACCCAGCAAGCGACACTGATCCGCCCTCCTATCACTTTTATGGACTCCAATCTACCCATCGACTGAAATCCTTTCAACGATGCTGTCATGGTTATAACTATCATTGAGCTTAAAAAACATTTAGCAAAGATTTAACAAGAGTATTTTTCTCTTTCCTTTTTCCCAATTTATCTCTCTCAAAGGGTGTAAATAGTACAAAATCCTCTTGCTTCATTAAACATGATAAAAAGCTCAATGTGTGTGAATCTCAAACATAATTATAAATTATAAGACAAAAGAAAAAGAACAAACAAAGAAACAATATGAGACATAATAATACCTAAAAATTTGTATTAATAGTTGTGAATATAAGCAGAAATTTAAAAAGCTTCTTAGCAACAATAAGAGACATAATAATACCTAAAAATTTATATTAATAGTTGTTAATATAAGCAGAAATTTAAAAAGCTTCTCTGTTTAGTTGACCAGTTACATGGTCAACCATGAAACATATACCATTCATTTTTTCATGTTCTCCATGCTAATGGTTCCCTACTGGAGAAAGCATTGGAGTGCCATCTGACCACCGACCTGAAGTTGTCAGAATTGCCTAGTTCCATGTATTACCTAATAAACACAAGCTCAGCATATGTGATTTTTTTCTTTTGATGGATTGCAACACTCTTCCTTTTAAACTCTTTGTTACGCTACTGGAACCACTGACAAACAATTAGCCTTTCACGCCTTCATGTGTTCAATAGTCAATCCTCTAGCTTTGTAACACGATCAATCAAGTTTTTTTATCCCTCCAAGCCAGAGAAAAAATTGATTGTGCAACTGGGGCCTGAATGAATCTCTTTGACCAAGAAAGGGTCTCCTTAGTAACTGATCGCATTTTCCCTCCAGTAATTGGATTCTAGGCAAAACCCCTATTTCAACACCTCTGTTTCCCAGACCTTCCAAAACCTGACCCACTTGTGTCTCTAAAAGTAAAAGGTTGTCATATTCGACAAGGAAAGAAATTCCAAATTGACAAGACTACATTACGTTACCTTTAATAGGTAGACTTTCATCCTCTTGGTCTAAAATTTTACGGCAATAGGGCCCTTAGGAGAGACGCTCCCTACCTTCATGAAATCCTCATAGGTTTCTCCCAGACAAGCTAGAAGGTCCAAGATCTCATCTGCACGATCATGGCAAGTTACAAAAGGGTCTTTGTTTAGAACTTATAAATCGAAGATCCATGAATACAAATTAGAAGAAGTCAGCCCAAAAAAAAAAAAATAGTGGAAGGTTCTCCCTGATCCTTGAGTACTTCAAGAAGCTATCCCTCGATTGGATCCTTCAAGTCAAGAGAAACCTTCCTTGGCAAGCATAATTTTAGTTAATAAAAAGACACTCGTTCCATCAAATTTTTCATTCTTAGTGTATCCTTAAAGGATCCAAAGATATCAAAAAATTTTTCAACTGACATGAGGAAGAGCCCTCCTCAGGAAATCCATCATTCTTAAAAGCCTTAGTTTTCATTTGTGATACTTCCTTCGACTTCATAAAAACCATGTACTTCCTACAATAAAGATTCTCTTCTAAACTTGCTCTCATGATAGTCATCTCCACCTAAGGAATTTTACTCATCTCAATAGCAAAATTTCTAAGGAAATGTGCAAAGCACATCACTGTTCTTCTGTGATGTTATAAAAACCTTTAAGGGAGTACACACTTAAGTTTTAATAAATGTTATAATTAATGTTCTTTATAACCCCCAATTTATCTTTTGTACTTTTCATTTGGGCAATTTAAAAGGCATAGCGATAAAGTATTTGAACATGGAACTTGCCTGGATTCAATTTCACTCACCTAGAACAAAAAAAAAGAAATTAGATCGCAATAGTCAAAATAGAAATGGTGAACATGGAACTTGCCTGGATTCAATTTCACTCACTTAGAACAAAAAAAAGAAGGGTCCAAATATAGAAATGTCAGAATGACCCCATCCCATAAGGGAGCCAAAATGCCTAAAGAAAAGGTGGAACCCTTTCATTGACACAACTTAAGAGATTGTTACTTGCATGCAAAGCATAAAATACCCCAAAGTGAAGGCCAATCCCGGTGTGTTATTGGGCTAAGGTGAGTCCAATCCCTCATAGAATCAACCAATGAGCACCTTAGGAAAAAAAGGTTGTTCCTAGAACATGTTTTGCTCTCGCCTTAATGATCTTTGAAAGAAAAAGGTTAGACAGGCAAAAAAGAAATCCTTCATTCTCTAGTTCTTCTGACATAAACTTTTCGAAGAGTAAAGAAAATTCGAGAAGTAAATGTATTGCAAATATGATTATACAATAATTTATTTATCTATTTCCTCGATTCAAGCTTACTTACTGTAGTGGTTAAATCGAACTCACTTATCAGAGTGACTGAAATGAGCTTACTTGTCGAAGTAGCTGAAATGAGCTCACTTGCCGAAATAGTTGTATCCATTCCTCTAACAAAAAATGGTCTAGCCCACTTGTTTAGGAGCAGTTATCAAAGAAGGCTATCATGACTAATACAAACATTCAAATCCAACATTAAGAGTGTCACATCACATTCACATCTCAATCTTTCCGTCCGGACAACAAGGACGGGCATCATGCCAACACCGACTGACACCCATGCCAGAGTGTTTTCATCAAGTAACTAGGAAAGGCGTTGTATAGTACAAAAACTGTCTCATTTTTTATGTCAATATTTTTCTCCCTTGTCTAGCTCTCCCCAGTGATAGAATCTTTATCTCTTTATCTTTCTTTCTTAAAAAAAATATGGTAACTCTAGTAACCACCCACGGGCTAGACTTTTTCGTCTCACCAGAGATAAGTGCTCAATAAATTCTCTGAGAATCCCTCTCCCTCTCCCTCTCCCATTCTCTCTACAATACAAGGCCTATATATATTTGTGTGTGTGTGTATAAAAAGAAGAAAAAGATTTAAATTAGTGCTAACATTTTTTTTTAATTGTGTAAATATTTTCTTTTGAATTAAAATATGAATATGTTGTGTGAATTCCCTTAAGAAAATGTGTACTTAATTTCTCATTAAATATATTTTTATTTGAATTAGAAAAGCAACACATTAGATGTTCTAAAGACAATATGAATAAATATTTTGTATTCGTGCAGAATCAACGCTTCGATATGCTAATTTAGTGATTAATTTATGCATTCATATAAGAAAATAAGAATTTTGTGGTACGTATGTAAATGCCCCTATTTTTGTTGTCTTATAAAATTCTTTTTTTATTTTATTTGTCATATAAAAATAAGCTATCATTTTATCATTGCAGTAGTTTTCTAAAGGGCTGTGAATTTAGCTCGAAGTTTGTCAATCGCTTGACAATTGATTCAAATTTTGGCTCGAATCAAGATTAGATCGAAAAAAAATGAGCAAAAACTTTGGATCGAGTTTTTCTGAGCCGATTTCGAGCCATACATGTATTGGCATGAAGTGACTCGAGATCGGCTCAAAGTATTTTTATCTATAAATATTATATATAGAGAATGCTAAATAAAATTGAATATAACGAGTCAGGAGCTAATTGAAAGCAAATTTAGAGCAGTAACAGATCCAAATAACTCAATTTGAGCCAATTAGTTTTAATTTTTGGACGAATCGAGCCGATTTCAAGCTGAAACGGATCCAAACAACTCAATTTGAGTCAGCTCGTTTTGATTTCGAGCCGGATCCAGTTCGAATCAATTTTGAGCCAGCTCCGCTCAAAGTCGGCTATAAGTATATAACGAACCACAAGCTGATTTTGAGCTGCACTAAATTTATTCGAGCCTATTTGGATAAATTAATATGGTGAAGTTATATCTCTTGCACTTTGCTAAAGTAAGAACATGCATGCATATAAGGATTTATTAACACATTTTTAAACTAATTTATATAAAATAAATGTGAAAATTATACCTATGATCCCGACAATATTGCGTATAGCGGCGTTGCTTAGCATCCTTCGTCGTTGCCGGCGGGCGGCTCCCGTCGTCGCCGGCGGCCGTCAAACGGAGTGAGAAGAGAGGAGAGAGAAATTTAAGAGTGAATGGGGTTTAAATGAAGGAGGAGAACAATCAAGATGGAATATAAAATTTTAAAAAATTCAATAATTACAGCTTGTCTTCTATATTTTATAGAGAAAATATTACATCAGGGCTCCACACGTAGAGTTATGTGCAGAGTCCAATAAAATCATGCCACGTGACGGTGACAGAAAAAAAAATATGTTCTGTAACACAAGAGATTATTCCTCTCGTGTTATTCAGTTGTTATTATGTGTTATTTAGGTATTATTGTGTATTATTCAAATGTTATTGATGTGTTATTGTGTTATTATAAAATTGAGAATATTCTCAAACACAATAACACCTGAATAACATACAATAACACCTGAATAACACGAGAGAATATTCCCCTGTGTTAACGGACCGATTTTTTTTTTTCTGTCACATCCACATGACGTGATTTCATTAGACTCCGCAAGTAACTCTAATAATTTTTCTTATTTTATATGAGCATTCACATATATACCATATAATTTCAATGTATTTATACCTAAACTTTACTTTTTTATATTTATATCATAAAAAAAAGTTCACATTACTTTAAAAGATCACCATTTTAATTTTTAAAAGTGAGTTACACTTTTTGATATATAAATTAAGGGCCATATATGTAAAAAAGTGAAATTTATGGACGTTTTAGATGTGTAAATACGTAATATTTGATTAGTATATTTGTAAATCTCCATATTTTATAACGGAAAGGGTTATAAAATTGGACGATACGAACAATTTTTTCTTATTGAGTTCATCGATCATTTGCTGTCTGATGAATTGGCATGCCAGCAATATAAACTATATATATATATATATATCTATATATATATATATATATATATATAAACTTCATTTTCGTTAGGTTTTTAAATTGTTCCTCGTTTATATCAATATTAATAAAAAATAACAATACAGAATGGGTTAGAATTTATAATAATAATAGTAAATATAAATACAAAAAGAATGCATCAACTTTTGTCTTAAAGACCTTTATATTTTTTTTTTCATCATGTCTAAATCAACTTTAATGATGAAAAGTAAAGCTAAATTAAAAAAAAAAAGTTTTTAGAAAATTGAGATAATAAATTAATTAATTATATGATAATATGTGATACGTGTTAGAGAATTCACATCGTTCGAATAATGAATCATCGTCTTGACGCTATATGAGAAATTAGTACACATTTAGATGAAAGAAAATAATGTCTGGAGACACTTGAAAAACCTGAAAAGAAAAAAAATCATGGGATCTGACACAGTCAAAACAATTCACTATGAATATAGTGAATTGTTTTGCACGTATATATCTCTATCCCGCATCTGGGAAATGACTACATAGTTCTTTAAGGTATCTTGTTCATTATAGAATGGTCAAGAGTGTCTGCAGTTGGAAACAGTTAAAAAACCACTATATTATCTTCGAGGTGCGTCGTCGCACGATGTACTGGATGAGACACTGCTCTATCGGGTGCTTTGTTATTCCGCAACACACGTTCTGACTCTGCAATATGGGATTTCGCCATAAGGAGTAGATGGCGGTCAATGGTGATCGACGGTGGCATGTGAGTGGTGGTTGACAGTGGTAAGCGGTTGCTCGAGCGAGAGGAGTTCATCAAATATTTAGTGCATAAACGATATTGGGCTTCAACTCTTTCTTCTCCAAACTCTAGTCTTCCTCTGACTCATGGTCTAGGTCCTCTCTCAAGAAGGTAGTATGATTCTATTTATAAATCACATATTGCGAATAAGTAAGGATTCCATACTACTCTAAATGGATAGTTTGGGGAGGTTCTCTCGATAATACGATGTTTTATGAACATTTAAGTGCCTTAGTAATGTCAGAATCCAGTCATATTGGGTTTATTGGATTTTTCTTGTAGAGACACTCGATTTGACTATAAATTTGTCAGATTTGGAATCTGTTTGATCTTCCAATTATGTATTAAAAGCTTTCAAAAGTGATTTATTGACTGAATTTGTAATTGATTTGACTCGGGTTGGATCAATTTTAGCATCATTGGACCCATCTTGTTTGGTCGGTTGGTTTGGCATAAGTTTACTGAAATTGGAGTTTTGAATTATTTTTAATCAAGGTTTGAATGTAACTTGCTAAAAAATTACCTCAAGATTTATGTTGGATGATGGAAATTTGATGAATCCTCCATTCTCATTTATTTCACTTTTGTTTTTGTGGGCTGACTGGTCTGGTCCATGTCGGCCTAACAACTTATGCGATGGGCTTGTCCGGACCTTCACGTGTCGACGGGTTGAGTCTGTTATCAGGCCCACAAGTTGGGAAGGGATAAGGCTGGTGTAGTCCGTGTGCTAGCCCATCAGAGCGCACTCGTGCCCCAGTGTTGCTTAGCTCAAAATAGGCATGATTTGGGCCCCTTTGGATCTATAGAAAGGGCATAAGTGGATTAGATGACGATGAATCCAACATCACAAAGAAGTCAATTAGTTAAGTGATCAGATTGAGCGATATGATCCAAGGGTTCACGTTAAGCAGCTGGGTTTTGAGGGCTCAGATTAGTTCAAAAATACATAAGTTTTGAGCCCAAAATAGGCAAGAATTGGACCCCTATGGGTCTATACAAAGGGACTTAAGGGGAGTTGAATTTCAGGGAGGTGAAGAGGGAGACCCAAGAAGAGCAACCGTGTGGAGTAAGAGGAGATCCAAGAAGGAATAAGATGAGAGCCCAAGTCCAAGGAGAAGAGCTCAAGAAGAGATCCAAAGAGAAAGAGGATCGGCTCAAGCCTTAGTTTAAGGAGGAGCAAAAGAGAGAAAGAAGGCGAAGTCCTACAAACTGCTAGTAAGTGATAAACATGATATTTAAAAAAAAAGATTGAGTCCCTCAGGCAATCAACGAGATCTCCTTCGCGTTGTTGTTATGTTTTCCTGAGGGGATTTACATGCTACTCTCGTGCTTTGTAGGGTAAATTTATTGCACTCTTGTGGTGATTTATGGAGGAAATTTTTTACATTGTTGAGATGCTAACATACGGGGAACCCCACACTGTCTGAAGGCAAGAGGAAATGTCGGATCCTTAAGAAGGTTACATCAAACCTAACGAAGGGTGACCTGATTTTGTTTCTTAAGAAGACTTATTTCTTGAATAATGGGGTGGTGAAGCTATGGATCCTAATTATCTGAGCATATTCTCCTCCCATATATATTGTCATTCACGAGACAACAGTACTAGATGGCATGTGACTTTCATCAACACCCAAGTTGATGGACATCCAAAAGATGAAATGAGTTTGTATTACATGGCTCGTTTGTCAGGTAGTGACAGTCATCATTGAGTTGATTGTCTTTTCTGGAAACATGGGTCAAAGTTGACATGAAAGAATTTAGCCCTGTTAGCAACACAGAAGGTCGTGTGTTGTTCATGAACAAGATGTTAGATTTTTGTCTGAAGAATCCTATGAGATAGTAGTATGTAAGATATTTATTTGATTAGATTGACTAGGTATTCCAAGAGAAGCAAGGAAAATTTTAGGAGCTGTCTTTCTCCCTCCAAACCACTAAGGATAGAATATTATGAAAGCTGTGATTTGGATACCTCAAGAAGTTGCAACTTAAGGTGTAATTCATCTACAAGTTTGTGAGTGAAGAATTCCTATTTATTACTAGGCTCTTTTTTTACCCCAAGTGACATTATGCAATGATGTTGAAGAAATCTAAGAAAAGCCCCCCTAAGTTGGTTCTTGCGGCACTACAAAGTTGCCTCTATTGAGCAGCAATTGTGAGGTCCTGCCTCAGAATCTACGTAAAAGGAGAGAGGAGGCGTAGAATTCTTTGCCCAGTCATTTGAGGATTTGTATCCTAGATAATATGTTGGCTCATGTGTGCAATGGGTTCCGGAAGGCCGAGGACTTTGTGAGTTTCTTTCGTTCGTCTTTTATCATTTATTGTTGCATAGTTTTTTAATTGTGTGACATAGAATTGTGTTTTTTTTTTTTGTTTCTTCGGATGAATAGAATGATGGAGCTTCAAACTGGCTTGGTCTTTATTTGAGGGAGTGGAATTCCGATTTTATCAAGATTTACTTTGTTCACAACGAATACAGGAGTAGATATGCTCCAAGGCTGAGGGAGAATTGACCTTGAAATCTCAGCTGACAGAGTGCATGAAAGAGTTATCTACGATGGTGACTTCACACTCATTGCAATGTGTGGACCTGGAGATCACACAGAAGGAGTTGGTGGAAGAATCTGTGACAATTGATTGTTTCCTTAGATTCTAAGAAAGGATGTTAGGACCAAGGTAAGAACATTATCTTATGATCGAGCATCAGCCAATGGAGTTACTGGCCTAGCTAGAATATGAACAACTATGTACAATTAAATGACCAGATTGAAGGGGAAGCCAAAAATTTAGAGTTGTGCTGATGTATCATAAGTGTCTATTGAGATTTTGACGTTGTCTATTGAGCAGGTGATGAAGATGTTGGGAGAGAGTATTAACAAGTGTTATATATGTTCTTCTGATTGTAAGAAATTTTAAAAGGCCAACAAATTACTTGTAGAGTGTTGGATTAGTATAGGGTTAATGTGAATCCAAAGAGAGTTTGGATGAGATTGAGAGAGAATTGAATAAAAGTTTGAAATCAGTAATACTAGCTTTACGATGAATTTTTTTGGCATAAAGGGTTTGGGTGAGAAGGAAATCATATATAATATGCTAAATATGTATTCCTATAAAGGTGCTAAATCAAACCAAGAAGTTTCATAGAGATGTTTTTATGGAGGACTTTTAGTATGTTTTAAGGAATGCTATAATTATTTATCGTTAAGACGATATCATCTACATAGATCAAAGGGAAGATTAAGGTGAAGTTGTGATGATAGGTGGAAGTGAAAAATCAATTTAGCTAGACATGAAACTAATTTTAAATAGATGATTTGTGAATGTGTTAAACCATATGTGTGGGGCTTGCTTTAGACCATTACTAAACTTTTACAGTAAAAAACACGTAGTTGGGATGATGAGAGTTGAGATTTGGTGGTTGATGCATGAAGACTGTCTCTCAAGGATAATGGATAAAGGCATTAGAGAAATCCATTTGAAGGAATTTCCATTAATGATGTACAAAAGCAATAAGGAGCTTGATGGTGGTTAATTAAATTGGTGAAATGACTAAATGTTTCAGTAAACTTGTCGTCATATTCTTACCGGTAATCTTAAGTAACAAGTTTGTATAACAGCTCATTAAGCCACATGTAATTCTTTTAAGTTTTTAGGTCCATTTGTTAACTAAAATGATCATATGGTGAAGGAAATGAAATCCATGTGGTCTACGGCTATAGAGCTTGAAATTCTTCTTCTATTTTTTTTCTTCCACTGAGGTTACATAGTTTCCATTTGTAGGTGCTTGGTTCTGTTTTAGGTGTTGTAATATGAAATAGATCAAGCACATGTCGATTGAAAGAGAGAAAATTTTCAATCTTGTGACCATATGATGATGTGGTCGAGCTAGTAGGGAAGCATATTGTGAGTTAATGTGACCATATGGCCGTTATGCACCCATTAAATTGAGTTCAACTTGTTGTTTGAATTTAATGAAGCTGGAAAGTACTTCAGCTTTTTGTATCATATGGTAAAGTCATGACTATTTATTCTAGTCATCAACAGATAATGCATAATATCTATAATCAAGGGGGTTGAGAAAGTTCGCAAACATCATAATGTATAAACTAAAGAAAGTTGCATAGATTTTTGTTAGAAATTAAAAAAAAAAAAAGGAAAATGGTGATGTTTAGTTGTGATACAAGAAACATATAAGGAAAAATGAGTAGAAATGCATATTGCAGGTTGTTGGCAATCATGTGTTGATTGGCATATCTTGTTGACTGACATGTCCAAAGTGCTGGTGCAAAACTTCAGTATTTATAGTTATGGATACTAGGACATGGTGAGTTGAAATTATGTAATAGAGCTAATTACGACAAAGACCTTGTAGTAGAGTTTGTTGAATTATTCAATCCTTAGTTTGACATCAAATAGAATAAAAAATAATTATTCTTTTATTTTTAAAGTCTAGCATTGAAATTGAGATTAAATTGTGTGATAAGTGGGGTGTGTCAGTATTTTGGAAATAATTAGCTTTCGGTCAATTGTGCGAAGTAATATATCCTTGTCATGAATTTTGCATGGGGACAATGTTTCCATTACATACCAAAACTCGATTAATGCCTTCATATGACTCAGCATGACATTGCCAATTACATTCTATTGTAAGATGTGTTGTGGCTCTTGTGTCTAAGTATCAATCTATTTTGGAGGAGGAGAAGGCAATGAGAGCTATAGTTTCTGGTGACTTAGTGAGCTGATAATTGATGTTCAACCGACGCAACTATTGAGGAGTATTGTGGATTAGTTATTACAAATCTAGTAAATGATAGATCCATTTGATTTAGGCTATCAATTTGAAGAGTATTGTTAATGCATACTACTCCTCCAATCAAACTAGACTTTCCATAACCAATGTGAGAATACAACGAAAATTGAGAATCAGATGACTGAGAGTCAAAAGTAAGATCAATGAAAATGTGTATTGCTTCATTGTAGGGTAGAGAATATAACATTACATTCTATTCCATCTTCTACGTGTCCTCCTAACTAATATCACAAATACAAGCAGAAGCAAGCTTTAAATTGATCATCTAATTAATTGTTGCAGCCTGTGAGACACCATCGAAGCCTCCAACCCAATTCTAGACGAAATAGCCTGCAAATTATCAAACCATTCTTTCAATATTTATCCCATTTAGTTATGCGATCAATGCAAAATTGAGAAGAAATTAAGAGGAAATTAGACTTGCTAAATTCATTATTTAAAAATTTAACTTTTTTTTCTGTATGACAAGATTTAAATTATAATTTTAACTTAAAATATATTAGGAGACGAGACCTTAGACATGTTGTACAAACGTTATTTTAAAACAAAATATGAGTAAAATAAAATAAAAAAAATAAGGAAAATGATTCCAAATATCCCTATAATATCTACTCATCTAATTTGACTTTTTCTTTTCACACATACCCCAACTCCCAAGAAAATATTATGTGTGAATGAGATAGATGAGGAGTAGGTGCAGATTAATGATACTGGTATTAGGGTAATTTTTGTGGTATTGGCTATGGTATTGAGGTGCAACCACGATATGCACATACACTTGGTATACACAATATTTGCTCCAAAGCACGCACCCCATATATACAAGATCTTGAACCCAAAAACTCTTGGTGGAAAGCAGGAAACCAGCCTTTTTTTTAAGAGGGCCAAACTATCCCCTTAGACCTAACGAAAGAGGGGCAATGATAGCGAAAAATAAAATGATATTTGAGAAGGGGCAAAATTGATATTTCATGAGAGGCACCTAAATCCAAGCCTGGTTGAAAGATGAAGTTCTCAACCAATACACCAAGATGACTTGCATATCTAGTTATCCAGTTTGATTTTATCAAAGTTTTACCTGACAGTGAATAGTGTGGATGATCTTGTTTCCCACAACAGAGAAGCTAGCATTAACCACATCAGCTCCCTCTTCCTCCAAGATACAAATGACCTCAGACAGTGAAAATTTCTTCTTCAAGCCACTGATGAGAAGAACCTCCAGACTCTGCTCCTGATGCCTCACTTCAACTACAGGCAACTTTAACCCTAATTTTGCTGAATCAACCCTCTCCATATCCATATCCCTTTCAGCCATATTATGCATCCTCCCTAATTCCTGCTTCTGCTTCAGCCTTTCAATCCTTTCTCTTAGCTTATGTATGTACGCAGCTGCTCGATCCAGGTGGTCTTGCTGCGAATTAGCATCCTGGAGTAAAAGGATTTCCATTTATTTTATCATTTTCTGTATTTAAAAATAAATATAATGTAAGATTTAAACAGCTACAGATTTCAGTAAAGAATTTATGAAGAAATTTGCATTGAAATGTGAGTTTCACATGCAACACGTGCTACAAGTAACGGTCCAAAGTCATTTTAATCAGCAAGAGTAGGGGTCTACTTGACATTTTGCAGCCATTTAAAAAAAGATATTTGTAAAGTTTTCCTGAATTTCTTACAAAATTACATTATTTATTTATTTTCATTTTTTTTTAAAGGAAAGGTTAGAAGCAATTATACGATTCTCCAATCACCTCTAATATGCTTAACAATTCGAGTACCATCTCCTTAACGCCAACTGTGCTAGAAGGGATTCGAACCCCCGACC